GGGTGGGTCGCGGGTGGGTTGCGGATGGGTAGCGGGTGGGTCCCAGGGTGGGTCACGGGGTCGGTCCCGGGTGGGACGACAACAAGAGAATCCGCGCCGCGGAATTCCACTTCAGCCACGTACCTTCGGACGGTGTAAGACCGCTCGGCCACCTCATTTTGATGTGTATGTATCTATATTGTAGTGGCCTCTGGCCAGTGCCGCCGAACCGGGGCGCTCCGGATGATGATGATGTGATGATGATGATGATGATGATGATGATGATGATGATGATGATGATGATGATGATGATGATGATGATGATGATGATGATGATGACGACGATGCTGACGAGGATGAGCATGAGGATGAGGATAAGGAGGATGATACTGAGGATGAGGATGAGGAGGAGGAGGAGGAGGAGGAGGAGGAGGAGGATGAGGATGAGGATGAGGATGAGGATGAGGATGAGGATGAGGATGATGCTGCTGCTGCTGCTGCTGCTGATGATGATGATGATGATGATGATGATGATGATGATGATGATGATGAACGAGGGTGATGGTGATTGTGAGGAGAAGGTGATGATCCCGCCCCCCCCCACCCCACCCTCCTCTCTCCTGTCCCCCTCCCCCTCTCTCCTGTCCCCCCCCCCTCTCTGCTTTCCCCCCCTCCTCTCTCCTGTCTCCCCCCCCTCCTCCTGTCCCCCCCCCCCCCCTCTCTCCTGTCCCCCCCCCCTCTCTCCTGTCCCCCCCCTCCCTCTCTCCTGTTCCCCCCCCACCTCTCCCGTCCCCCCTCCTCTCCCCCCCCCCCTCTCTCCTGTCCCCCCCCGCTCCCTCCCTCCTGTCCAACCCCCCCTCTCTCCCCCCCCCCCTCTCCCCTGTTTCCCCCCCCCCCCTCTCTCCTGTCCCCCCCCTCTCTGCTGTCCCCCGCCCCCCCCCCTCTTTCCTTCCCCCCCCCTCTCTCCAGTCCCCCCCCCTCTCTCCTGTCCACCCCCGCCTCTTCTACAATTACTCAATATGAATACTACTCTCCCTCTTCCCCTGATGACGGCCTGGGAGTGTCCGACCCCCCCCCCGCGTACTATTTGTTACACACAGGTTTCCCCAGAGTTGGGTTTTCGCTTGCATTTCTTCCCCAAATGCTGCTCTCGCTGAGGCGCCCGCCTCATTTTCGGGCCCCGCTCGTTCCGAATCGTGCTCCCGCTGTAGCGCTGGCCTCATTTTCGTGCTTCCGCTCGTTCCGAATCGTGCTCCCGCTGCAGCGCTGGCCTCATTTCCGCCCTTCCGCTCGTTTCGACTCGTGCTCCCGCTGCAGCGCTGGCGTCATTTCCCGTGCCATGCCACGGCATGCAATGCAATGCTAGGTTGATACTACGCCTTGCGGTGCTCTTCTACGCCATGCCATGCCGTGCTTCACAATGCATCGCTTACCCTTTCGGGATCATTGCCCTGCTCGACATCCGACTGAGCGAGTAGAGAGGGGATCTGCGCCACAGTAAGGGATGGGAGGGAGGGGTAGGATGTCAGATATGACGCGAGCGCACCTAGCTTGCCCCCCCCCCCTCTCTCCTGGGGGCTGGCAGGGGGGGGTAGGTGCCGAGCACATAATTCGTCAGGTAATCACGCCCCCCTCCCCCCTCCCCCCCTCCCAAGCAGAGCTAAGGCTCATGCTGAAGCAGAGCTTCAGCTTAGACTCCTTAAACTCACACGCCGGATCGGCTGGGTTAGGCCAGATATCGCCTACCTCAGCATTCACTGATAGCCCCCATATCTCCTGAGCACCCCCCCGCGGTGATCCAAGTAGGAAAGGCTGGTCCTGCCTGGGCCCCCACCATCTTTCCTGGTGTTCCTGCACGTGCGGCGCAGGGCGTGCAGACCCCAGCGCGGCGGGACAAAAAATGCTCGCGGAGCCGGCTCGACAAGGAGGGCCGAAAGTCCGAGAACAACAATTACACAACCATACTCCAAATCCCTTATCAATCGACCCCCCCAGAAAAACAACTGGACCCCCCTCCAAATGCGACCTAATTCTGGACCCCCCTCTTTGACGGGGCGCCATAATAAACCGGACCTCCTAAGCTCCAATCCACAGCAAGCGCCCTAATAAACCGGACCCCTCCAGTTACAAAAACGGCGCCTTAAAAAACCGGACCAAGGGGACGATTACGAAGGGATTTGGAGTACACTGGCGGAGCTCCCCGCGGATTTCGTGGATCTGCGCTGGGACCCATTGGCGGCGCCTTTGGCGTCGCCCCCGTCGCGCTCCGCACGCCAGGAAGGGGGGGCGCCGATCCAAGAAGTCCGCGCGGACCTCCGAAAGTTTATTGTTCATGGTAGCTCTTGTTCCCTGACCAGTGCCTGTTCTTAGGGGGCTCGTGCTTGTGCTTGAAGGTACCTGAGCCCCAGTGGTGGTCTGGCCTGCTCGTCGCCGCCCGTTGCTGCCGCCGCCGCTGGGCCCCAGTGGCGGCCCAGCCGGCGCGTCGCCGCCCCTCGCCGCCCGTCGCCGCCGTCAGTCCCCGTCACTTGCACTCGCTTTTTGCACTGCTCTGAATTGCGTTGCGTTGCGTTGCACTGCCGTGCATTCCCGTGCATTGCCGTGCATTTTCCTGTGCATTGCGCACGTCATGACATTGCTCTGCATTGCGTTGCATTGTTCTGCATGCCTTGGCATTGCTTCGCATTGCGTTGCATTGCTTTGCGCAACACAGATTCCCCAGAAGTGCAGACTCTACCGCCCTCTCCCCTAGACTTATCGGCTCCTCCAGGACCTCCAGGTCCGAAGGGCTGCTAGGTTTCCGATTATGGTGTTGCTCTCGATCCGGTTTGTCGCCGATCTGAATTCGAGTTTTCGATCCAGTGGAGGGTGGGCTTGCGTCCTTTCAAAACAATTGGCGTTCGAAACATTCCAAAATAGATTTTTCCAAACAGGTAAGAAAAACATAATGCTGTTCAACCGAAAGTTTGCCAGGGTTCTTGGTTTTCCGCGCGCGCACTTCTTCGCCATCGCCCTCATCAGCGGCGCCGCATCACGTCATCGTCATCGACATTCGCCGTAATTGCCGCCATCATTACTCTAGCACCTTCGACATCGACACATGGACATCAACATCGTCGTCATCATCGTTACCAGCATCGGCGCCGTCATTGGCCTTGCGGTCGTCATCGTTATCATCGCCACCACCATTGCTACTGTCGTCATCGTTGCCGCAGTTGTCGACGTTATCATGATACCGCGCCCGCCGGAGTCACCGACCCATATTGAGGCGCCCCCGCGCCATCGCGGCCTTTGACGCGCGCTGGCGCCAAACCAGTGGGCCCCTATGCGCGCAAGCTTGCGCGCGCCAGCGCGGCCGCAGAGATGCGCCAGCCAGAACCAAACCATCATTGCCGTCGCCGACGCATGGGTTTTTCAGACCAAATTGCGGGTGGGATGGTCGGGCAATTGTGCGAGCAGTGGAGTTGACATTTCGTGGAAAAGACTGATTGCACCGCGTAGATTGCAGCATCTAGATTGCACCACATGTGATTTCACCACCTAGCATCTTGATTGCACCACGTGTAGGAGGAGGCGATGACTCCTCCTACACGACAGGGCAGAAGATGAGAAACAGGGAGCGCCGCCACCGAGAATCCATCCGGGACGGGGGCGGAGGCCGACCCATGGGCTGTGGCACGCCTGAGCGTCGTCCCGTTATCGCAGGGTGAGAAGCAAGGAGCACCGCCACGGAGAATCCATCCAGGACGGGGGCGGGGGCCGACCCTTGGGCTGTGGCACGCCAGCGCGTCGTCCCGTGCTCGGGGGCGCTCGGGCGTGTCGCCGCCTTAGGGGGCGGGGCGGGCCCCCGTTCCGACGGGTGCGCAGTGGCGGAGGGGTCCGTGCTGTTCCTCCGAGCACGGGGACCACCGCGGGGGGTGCAGAGGAGAATGGGGGATGATGAGTGGATGCTAACGCAGGTTGTATTTGGCCTTCCCCAGCTCATGGCTCGGTTTCACGGCGCCCGAAGTAAGATCCAGGAGGGTAGACACCCAGGGGCTGGGTGGACTGCACCCACTCAGCGGAGATATCCAGCCAACCTAAGCCGCTTCAGCCCCCTTGTAGCCAAGTTCTAAGCTAGACCAGGCCAGGCACAGCCCACCTCAGCATCCACTCGTGCGCACCCCACGCGGTGATCCAAGGAGGGCCGCTCTTGCGTGCAGCCGAGGGAAAGCTGTCCTCCCCTCCGTGGGCCCCAGAAGCGGCAGGGCCGTTTTTTCACCGTTTCCGAAAAAGTGTCTCTTGAAAATGGAAGCGGCAAAACAACGGCGACCAGAAACGGCAACAGAAACGGTTCCGGGATTGGAACTGGAGCGGGAACCGGCAGGAAGATGGCAACGGAACCGAAAACAAAAACGGCAAGACGGAATTGGTAAAGAAGAAAACGGCTCTGTCGTTTCCAGGGCCTTTTACAGTGAAGACCCATGACAAGAAACACCCTGGTTGCCTCGATGGTACCCTGGGTTTCTTGGATTTCGATGGTTGTGCGATGGAGATCGTGACGTTCCCACACCAAACATCAATGGACGTCCTGGGGTGTCAGGGTTGGCTTTCTTGTGGAAGGTTTCTTGTGGTGGGACCCCTACTGTGAGGTCCTCCCTGCCGTCCTGCTCCCGTAGACGCGCTCGCTGACACCAATGGAGGTAACGGCGATGTAGGTTTCGGCATTGTAGGTGGGACTGGTTCGTGGCCAAAGCAATTGTAGGACATGGTGATTCGCGCTTTCCTGCAATTCGCTGCGTCGTGTTCGCTCGACACACTCGCACATCTGAAATGCCAGGAAGTGTGGTGCGTGACTTCCTACACCTTGTTCTGCGCGAGCTCGGTGTCACAAACGTCAGGTTCCCAACATCGCCGTCAGCCAACACCGCCGTCATCGCGGCCTTGGTGCTCCTCGCGCTGCCTCTCCGCCTGCCGCCTCGCCTCCCTCCGCGTGCGGCCCCGCCCCCCCCCCCCGCCCCCCGCATTCCGCCGGCGGGCGACAGGAACGGCGGGCAGGTGGCGCGAGGCCCTGAGCCTCCTGGCGGGGAGGGGGGGGACGGGGGTCCTCCTCCTCCTCCTCCTCCTCCTCCTCCTCCTCCTCCTCCTCCTCCTCCTCCTCCTCCTCCTCCTCCGCCCTCCTCCTCCTCCGCCCTCCTCCTCCTCCTCCTCCTCCGCCTCCGCCCTCCTCCTCCTCCTCCTCCGCCCTCCTCCTCGTCGTCCTCCTCCTCCTCCGTAGCCATTTTGGCTCAAGGTTCCAGTTGGCTGTGCCGACACATGGAGGCCGCTAGTCCGCGGACTGCTCTGGTGCATACTCGAGGCGAGGGCGCCTCGTTTATTGAACGCCTCCTCACCTCGCGCCCCGCATGTCTGACCTCCCGCCCGCGGCGTCCGACCACACGGTGCGCAGGGGGGGCATCTCGAAGCGCAAGACTCATGGTGATGGTGCTGGTGCTGCGCCTGGTGTGGCTCCTGGCTCCAGAGGCGACCGCTCGCGGACTCCGCCTCCCAACGAAGAAGCCGACCTGGACGCCTTCGCCACCCTGGCCTACGTCCAGACCCTGCAGAGCAAGATCGACAACATGGAGAGCGCCATCAAGGAGACCATCAACGCCACCGTCTCCTCGGCGATGTGAGACGCCACGGGCCCAATCACCGCTGCGTTGCAGGCCGCTCAAGACGGGATCAACGGTTTGTCGGGCAAGATCGAGAAGGACATCAACCTCGCTCTCGACCAGCGCATCGACGCCGTCCGCAAGGAGTTCCAGCAGCAGTTCGATGTCTTCAGTACGAAGATGGGCGAGCTCGAGTCCAGGCACGACAAGACCGACACTGCCATCGCGGCGATGGCCGACCATATCAGGGACCTCCAGCTTGCGCTCGAGGTCGCGAACAAGCAACCAGTCCAGAACCAGTTCATCGGCCGTGACTTCGACAGGGAGATCGACGCCACGGTCATCAAAGTGCACGCCGACGGCCTGGTCACACTCGAGAAGGCGACGGCGGCTCTCTCCAAATGGATCGCAGAAAGTAACATTAAAGAGTCTGACTTCAAAGTCCAGGGGAATCCTACATCCAGGTTCTTCACGGTCCAGTTCTTGGGTCTCCCTGGAGTTGCTGCCAAGAGAGTCCAGAAAGTCCTCGACAGCCTCCGCGACCGCAACGGCAGCTGGACTCGCATCCACGCCCCAGCAGTCGCAGGCCAAGGGCAAGTCGAGCTGCGGGTCGGCCCCGTCAAGTCGCCCAAGCAGATCAAGATCGAGATCACGGGCAAGCGCATCAGGCAGGCGCTGGAGCGGGACTTCCCGAACCACACCTGGTGGGTCGACCGCGCCAAGGGCTGGGCCCTCGCAGGCTGGGCGCCCGTCCTCTCCTACTTCGTGCGTCCTGGTCGTGACGACCCCCCCCGTGCTCTCCTACCAGGACGCCGGCCTCCCCGCGCTCGGCATCGACCGCGCGCAGCTCAAGGCCTCCGCGAGTGCTGCAGTGGCCCCCGAGGCTACACCCCAGTTTTGGCTTTGACGAACTCGCGAAGGGCCTGAAGAGGTCCCCTGGTGGACCCTCTCCGAGCTTGGTCCCGGGCGCATGGAATGCTCGGGCGCCCCTTGGCTATCAAGGCCGAAGAGTCACAGAGAAGACTGCGTACCTCAAGACACTCCCCTCGGCAAGATGATCCTCGGCACTCAAGAAGTTCACCGGGACGGCACGCAGCTCCGCGCTTTCATGAAGAAGATCGACAGCACGCTGGACATGCACTCTTCCTTCGCCCCTGGTCACCACGGCATGATCAGCGGGGGGGTGGCCACCGTCTTCCCCGCAGGCCTCCCTGCCGAGAGCGAAGCTCCCCTCCCTGGTCGGGTCCTCCGCGCCATCTTCCGCACCAGCGCCAAGCAGCTGATCTTCTACAACATTCACAACTACGAGATAACGCCGCCATCAAGCGCATCTCCACCCGCATCCTCAGCGACCAGCGCTTGGCAAGGTCAAGCCCGAGCAAGGTGATCCTCTTCGTCATGGGTGACTTCAACTTCGCCGCCGGCGGGGAGCTCCAGCTCGCAGAACCTGAATCCAGAGCCAACGCGGAGCCCTCTGAATCGTCCAAGGCATCGGCACGCAAATGGCATGACGCGCTGAAGCGCCTTATCGAGATCGAGCGAGCTGACGCCACCCACTACTGCGCGGAGACGAAGGCTGAATCCACGATCGACCGTTGTTTCTGCTCTATCACGCCGACACAGATGCTGCAGCTCACGGTCAACTCCGCCACCGTCTCCACCCCTGAGGACCTCTCGCGTCGCCATGTCAGCCACCATGCGGCCGCCCTTGTCTCATTCACCATGCGCGACGCGAAGCCAGCCAATAACCAGCCAATTGCCCAGTACATCGCGCAGTCCCCCATATTCAAGAAGATCGCCGACAGTGTCTTCGAAGCGGCCGACATGAGCCACCTGTCCCCGCCGCCCCAGCTAATCCTCACCACCGAGCTGCTCCGCGAGATCGCGCGGG